GGATTGTGGTGATGGTTGTACAACTGTACAAATTTACTAAAAATCAAACTATACACTTATGATGGATGAATTTTGTGGTGTGTAAATACTACCTCATTAAAGCTGTTTAAAAAAGACTTGGCACCTCAACACGAATCCCTAAACACTACAGCTTGATTTTGCCTGTGTTTGATCTTTATATAAATGGAGCAATACAGTACAGTTCTTTGGTGCCCGCTTCTTTCATTCAACATTATGCTTGTGAAATTCTCCATGTTCCTGCATGAGGCTCTAGTCATTCATTTTCATTGCAGAAGATTCCACTGTATAATTATATTTATTTATCTAGTCTATGTTGATGGACACGCTGTCTCCTATTTTTGGCTATTATGAATCATGTTACTATGCACACCATCTCTCTTATGGTATATGTACATGCATTTCTGTTGGGTATATATCAAGAGTAGAATTGCATTATCTTGGCCTTTAGTATTAAAAGCACATGTTTCTGACACCGTATTTCTAATCAAAAGCTCTGACAAAATATGGCTTAGAATGTCAGGTATAGTGTGGTGTCAACTTACCTGTTCAATTTCATAAACTACTAAACTTCAGCCAAAAGGGTTTTCTACTCATCTGCTATTCCCTCTGTCAGTAAGTCTTCCCTCCCCTCTCTGCCTAATTAACTTTTACTTATCCCTAAAATTTCAGCTTAAGCATCATTGCCTCAGGGAAGGCTTTTCTCATCTAATTCCTCCATTATACACTCGCCCGCCACCACAGACCTCTCTTTCTCCATTTGTTGTAATTGTTTTACAATCTGTGAAACTAATTGGCTATCTCTCCAACAATACTGGCTCATTAAGGTTAGGGTGTTGCATATCATTGTATCCCTGCACCCAGCACAGTACCTGGCACATAGAAAGGCGTCAATAAATATTTGATGAATATGTATTCTCTCTTCACATTCAGGGTATCCAACTCAAATACTGTTTCTTCTGAATGTTTTATTCTTGGGGCCACCACCAGTACTATTCTTTGAAAATAAATTTGTATTAGGCAAAAGATTTTCCTAAATCTCATTTGGCAAAAAAGATTGAATATGAGTGACTTAGCACTTAGTCCCATCATCATGAATAAGAATATTTATACTGTTTTCTGTGGAGAGACTATAATTAACATAGAAAGTAATTTTGCATAAGGATTACAAAACATATGGGTTGTTTCATTATCAAATGGTGTACACTATTTAAGTGATACTTTATATAGCAACTGATTATTTCCACAAAAGCAAGTAACATCATTATAAAATTGAGCAAAAATGTAGAATTTCAATCATTTACTTTCAACGATGAGTGCTTATTATGTGAATAGCAGCAAGCAATTCACTTAATATTATCTTTTTCTCTTTATCACTAAATGATAGATTTCTCCCACAACCAGTCATTCTGTGTAATTTCACTTGATCCTGTGTAAATAGTTTGGTAAGCTTTCTTTTGCTTGTTTGTTTTTTAATAAAAATTGCTCAGTGGCAACAATTATAGAAAAACCAGGTTTCTATTCTCTACAAATCTAATTTACTTATATTCTAAGCGTTAATTTAACAAAATTATTACAGGTAGGAAAGCTTACTTTTCCCCCCCATAATTATTCATAACCTTTATATGCTCTAATTACAAGTTGAATTCAAAATATTTTATTTTTTTATAAATTTATTTATTTATTTTTTCCCCCAAAGCCCCAGGAGATCGTTGTATGTCATAGCTGCACATCCTTCTAGTTGCTGTATGTGGGACGCAGCCTCAGCACGGCCAGAGAAGCGGTGCGTCGGTGCGCGCCCGGGATCCGAACCCGGGCCGCCAGCAGCAGAGCGAGCGCACTTAACCGCTAAGCCACGGGGCCGGCCCCGAAATATTTTATAATAAAACAACATTTTTTCATATTAATTTCTAAAAAAACAATCTCAGTGAGAGCATTAATATACCACTGAACTGTTCAGAAGGGAGGTTTGAGGAATTTTTTTCAAGGACTTGTAAACTATAAAGATCTTCTAAGTAAAAGCCTGTGGATACCTTGCTGAAAATTAGAAAAGTTGAAACCAGAGTTAATACCAAAACAAAATGTACAGTAGGAAATTAGTAAAACACCATCTTAATTATCCCAAGGTTTTTCCCTAAATTAGCCTCCAAATTGCAACCTCAGCATATCAAAAGAATTTCAAATGAGAAACTTAACCCTAAGCTTCTTGTTTAATATATATATACACGCCTTGTACAGGGAATATTCTCTTAACTATCTCCTTTCAGATCACTACATCCCATAACGACATGGTAGAGTCTAAAATGCACACCTCTTTTATAAAGAAAATGTATTCACAAGTGGAACTTCCCTCAGAAAACATCATGATGCCAAGTGTAAAGATACAAGAACATCTAGTCTTGACTCATGTCACAACCATATTTTGGATTTAAAAAGTGGCAACAGATTCTCAAACACACAAACCACTGCCAGGAAATTATACAGATGAGGATTAGAGCACTTGTAATTCAGTTTCTAAAGGGAAATTAAAACATAATACAAGGTAAGGTATAACACAAGGATTCAATAAAAAAAATTTATGAAAGAGGATAATAAAACACTATTATTCTGTATATGTTGCTAAAATATCAGAGCAGAGAATTGCTGAGGGTGATTTTTAGCTCTATTAAGACTTATTTCAGACTGCCATGCCATGAAATTGGCAAGAATTGTATTAACACAAGCCTAAATCCTATAATAGGTCCTTTTTAAGATTCTGAGACACCCTATGGTTCCTCATGATGTGTGTTGTTCTCCTTTGTTGCAAAGAACAAAACGATAAACCAAATTTGTTCAACTACAAAAAAAAAAAAAAGAATTGTATGTAAGATATTTTAACAAAACTTAACAAACATGTCACAATTTCCTAAAGCCTAAAACTGGCTAAAATATGCACTAATAAAAATGTAAAAGATAAATAAATAACAATCATCTTAAAATATGCAGTTAGTTTTGCTGAATATGAAAAATATTCTGTTTTTATTAGTTTGTAGAAGCATTATTTTATTCAATGTTTTATTACATCAGAATTTTAAAAAATAAGCTGACTGAATTTTAAACAATACTTAAAAATATCTAACTCATATTTTAAGTCAATGCAAGTTTTCACTAATACTCTATATTAGTATCTTAATATTTGGGGAATTTTTGGAAACAGACACATTGTTTATAAAACTGTCTTATAGACCTTAGAAAGAAGCAAGTTTAATAATGGTTCATAAAACTTTACAAATCTTTCTAAACTGTTTTTTAATACAACGAAAATTATATATAGACTGATTTTTAATCAAAATTTCAATTATTTTACAATTTGAAACAGAAGTAAATATGTCTCATTCTTTTTCTGAGGATTAACATTCATCAGGATTACTACAACTGATAACACTTAAAACACATACACACACAGACACAATTAGAAGGGACTATCCGGCTAGTTCTGCTTTAAAAATACTAATGAACTAATAATTAGGTTGGAATCATGACAAAATCAATATTACTTAGAAAATATTATATAAAAATTCAAGGAGAGGACATTGTTAGGGTCAGCTTAACATTATTAGCTGTAGCAGTACTGTATCTTGTACACACTTACAAATCACGTTTTCAAACTGACAATCTGTTTTAACTGCTTTGCTCATTAGCACATGAAGATGTTGGTTGAGTCTGAAACATTATAAACTGTATTTATATATACCATAAACAGGGCAGTTCCCAAGATCAAATGCTATTATTTTTAAATATCTTCTTAGAATATAAATACTTCATTTTATCTTACATCATTAGGCATAAAAATGATCCATGTAAGTGAACTTTTCCTTCACATCTTAAAAAAAATGATAGCTTAAAAAAATGAAACCAGGGGCTGCCCTGGTGGCACAAGTGGTTGAGTGCGCATGCTCTGCTTTGGCGGCCCAGGGTTCACAGGTTTGGATCCCGGGCGCGCACCAATGCACTGCTTGTCAAGCCACGTTCTGGCAGTGTCCCCTATAACGTGGAGGGAGATGGGCACGGATGTTAGCTGAGGACCAATCTTCCTCAGCAAAAAAAAAAAAAAAAAGAAAAGAAAAAAAAGAGGAGGATTGGCATCGGATGTTAGCTCAGGGCTGATCTTCCTCACAAGAAAAAAAAAAAAGAAACCATTTTTTGATAGAGTTGGTTCTAAAATGCCTTGACTTACTGCTTAGTAAAATTCTACTCCCTGGTACGGACCCCTAAGCTTTCTGGGGAAAATTCCAGGGTCAACACTATGAACATCAAATACAACAATCCATTTTAACAAAGTATTGACATCAGGAACTCCTGAAATATGACAAATGTCTATTTTACAGTTGCTGCTTCTGTAGCTATAGATCCTTCCTGATTACTTCATATTATTTTAGGTTCTAGAAGTTCTATCCCTCTTGTGCTTCTAATCTGTTTTCCTAAGCCTGTTTAAAAAGTCAGCATATGTAATTTTCCATATTATTCTGGCTCAAAGGTAGCTCCACACTCTTCCTGCAGCTTAAAATAAGTTTTTTCTTTCTTTTTTTCGGGGGAAGAGGGAAAATGGAAGAGAGATGGGCTTGATATCTTGCTAATTTGTAGGCTGGCTTTAGAGTTGCTGGTTATTTCCTGATGGATAAGGTTGCTAAAGGAATACATACCAAGTGACGCCATGTTATCCTATTGAGGACAGCAGTTAACTCTCCAGCTGAGACCAAAAAGGATAATACAATAATTTGCTAATAGTTATTAGGCATTTGCTAGTTTACGGACATAAATAAAATATTTTATCTACTTTACAAAGTAATATTAATTAAAGGTACACCTAGAGTCTATGAAATCATTTGCAACAAAAATTTCACTAGTTAAAATTTCTTAATATTTCTCTTAGCCGATTTGTACACTTGTTAAAGAGTACCTGATACTTGTTTAAATATCAAGTAATATAGGACAGGATGTTATAAAACAAAACACAGAGCTGGGATGCATTTTATTTTTTTCTACTTCATATAACATTGTTCAGGACCACAAGATTTTAAAGGTGTCTTTCCAGCAACTTTTATGACTTAGGAGTACCACTTAAAAATATTTACTGATGCTATAAATATTACTGTTTTTCTACATACTGACAATTTTAATGAATGCTATATCCATTATACCTCTTGTTCCTTTGGTCAGAAAGATAAACAGAAACTTTAAATCAGATGTTTAGACACTCAAAAATGGTTTTTAAAAGCACACTCAGAGAAACAAAATCTACATCAGCAACTGTTAAAATTAGTTTTCGTTATTAAGAATTCTTAATAAGGACATACTGAAGCACGTATGCGATTTTAAAAATTATATACGATTTATAAAACAAATTTAAATTTATAAATAAAAAGATTAATGGCCAAATTAAAGAAAGTTTAAGCATCAGATTTAAAATATCTTAATTTTTAGGCTATTCAGAAATATATTTTATGAATAAGAATTATTTCATAAATATATATGTATAAATATAAATATATATCTACAGGATCTGTGATGCAGGAGAAAACCCTTTAAAGAAAAAAATTGCACTTTTAGATTATCAGGATGTTGTCATATTTACCCTTCAAGTGAAATATAATTACCATTCCAGGTGCTTTTGGCACAAGTTTTTAGGTGAATATTGACAGAATCTTAAAAAACACAATGCTTTTATATTTTATTCACTGGAATATGAAGAATCAAACAGAATTTAGAATTCTGACCAAAAAAAAATCCAGATAACTGCGATTGCTTAATTAAATACAAAAAATATTGTTTTAAAAAGACCTTAAACCTGCCTTTACATCTGGAGCATGTAAAATTTTACCAGCAACAGGTTTTCTTCAATCCCCTCAGCAAGAATTCCCAGCCTACACACAAATATAACATCGTCTTTTTCTACTCATATATGACTTAGATCACACCCCAGTATATAAGGACAAAAAATAAATGTATAATAAAAAGATTGGATAAATCAGGAGAGGCTTTTTGGTCTTGAATTCTTCACCCACTAACAATGAAGCAGCACTGTAGGCAGCCCAAAACACACCAAACAGCTTTAAAAAACAAACAAAAAAGACAAAAGGCAGCATATTAGCAAGTCAATTAATATTTTGGGTATCATAGAGTAAAAATAACATTTACAATATTTTTTTAAAACAAGCCTGACAACTAATTGCGGTAAACAAAAAAACTTATTGAGAATGTTTAAAACTTATGAAGAATGTTGGCCCTTACTCTGCTCCTTGACTTCTGCAACTGGTCTTTTGTTATCAAACTTGACTAATCATAAAAATCACCTCAGGGCCTATTAAAAAGAGAATCTGGAATTCACTCTAGATCTGTTGAATCAGAGTCTCTAAGGGAAGGATTTAGTTATCAGTCTTTAACAAGTGTCTCTGGTGACTTAAGATAAGGCAACTTTTAGAAAAACTATTATTGGGACAAATTGCTGAAAGAAATTTGATTGCTGAAAGAAAACTAACTGATTCTTACAAAGAAGAAATTTTTCTTTTTTTTTCTTCTAAGAAGTAGGAAAACAGATTAAGTAAAAACTTGACACAATGTTTATTAAGCATCACAGCACTTCCCCAGGGATAGGTAGAAGTATAGGATTAAATAAAAAGGAGGAAAAAATATAACATTTTGGTCAAGAGTTAAATAAAATATACTGTGGTTTTCTGATTATACACATAACTAATTTTAAATTATTTCCACTGGTAATTTATATAGTACCTATTGATGCAGTCACTGAAGGCATTTTATAGAATAAAATGAAAGGAAGAACTCGGAGGGTAGAAATAGGGAAAATATGATAGAAACAGACTTGACACAGAGCAGGGTTTCTCAACCTTGCACTATTGACATTTTTGGACTGGATAATTGTTGTAGGAAGCTGTCCTGTGCAGTGTAGGATGTTTAGCAGTAACCTTGGCCTCTACCCACTATATACTAGTAACATTCCACCTCCCACCCCATTTGTGACACCCAAAAATGCCTCCAGACACTGCCAAATGTGCTTGGGGGGCAAAATCATCCTCAGAAGTAAAAAATGGGTTAGGGTACAGAGGTGAAAAATTAATATTGGCAAACTGATTGAAAATGTATTTGAGATGGTCCAACTTTCCATTGTCCTTTTTAAACAAACAAAAAAACCCCCCAAAAACCTACTAAATATTTTAAACCTACAGAAAAGTATAGGGAAATATATGAAATAAAATTATGATCAAATTGCATTTGTATGTCATGATTAAATTTTTTGTTGTAAATAAATGGTTAAAGATTGGTAAGAGTTATAGAGATTTAATGTTAAAAAAAATTAGTGCTTGTAGATTAAACTGTATTCTAATGCTAGAGTTAAATGATGAGAGTTTTGAAACATATTTCTCAACAAACCTTGGACTGAAACCAGAAACGTACAACAGCTCACTACACACAGAAGATTAAGCAATTAGGAAAAAAAATTTGGCAAAGAAAAATCTGAAGTTTAAAAATAATTTTATCTTAAATTTTTAATGATAGAAAAAACTTTTCTGGGGCTGGCCCCATGGTGTAGCAGTTAAGTGTGCGTGCTCCGCTGCTGGCGGCCCGGGTTCGGATCCCGGGCACGCACCAAGGCACCACTTGTCAGGCCATGCTGTTGTGGCATCCCATATAAAAATCCCCCAGGCACAGATGTTAGCCTGGGGCCAGTCTTCCTCAGCGAAAAAGAGGAGGATTGGCATGGATGTTAGCTCAGGGCTGATCTTCCTCACAAAGAAAAAACTTTCCTGATTTATAAAAGTACATTCATATGTTGCATAAAGAATATTAAGGACCAATTTTCAGTTGAACTCGATGACTAAAATGACCAGAGGACACAGTTTAAGCAATTTTGGGAGTAGTCTCAGAAGGATTCCAACAAGCCTAAACCCAAGTAAAAACAACACAAAAGAAGGAAATGATCCTGAATGATTCAGTAAAGTGGTATGTTCACTAATGCTAGATAATTAAACGCCAGCATGGGGCTAGCTCCCACACTGCAAGACTTTTAAACTAAGTGCTAATAATACCAATTAAAAAAAAAAAAGATTTTAGGATTAGAATGTAGAGGAAGGAAAAGTCTTCTCTTTGGTCTCTAAATGTTCAAACAGTGCAAACATTCAAAGATGTTCTCAAAATATTCTTCTATAATATTTGTAATAATAACAGCTACCACTTGAGTGTCTACTCTGTGCCAAGCACCGTTCTAGGCATTATATAAACTTTAAAATTTTAATAACAAACTCTAAAAAGTAATTAAGATTCCCATTTTGCAGAGGAGGATAAGAAAAGATACCTCCCCCCAAGGCAGACAGCAAGTAAGTGGCAGAACCAGGATTTGAATTCAGAACTGACTGGTTCCAAAATCTATACTCTTCTCAATATGCAATGCTTATATAATGTCAGTATTAGCCTGTAGTTACCCAATTCTAAAAGGAATCATTTTTTTTATATTGGAATTAGTAATGAACTTTAAATAAAACCAAATGTCATAAAAATTAAGTGGCTCTACTTCAAAACGAATACTTTAGTGTGAAGGCTACATAATGGCAGCTCTGAAAGTGATGGTCTTAAAAAGCTATATTTTCCATACAGAAAAAAAAATTACATTCACTGTATAATATACACACATGTGCTAAAGCAGTCATTTATTTCCTAAAGTTGTTCACAATTTAAGTAAAATTTCTACTTATTATTAATACTTAATATTATCAGTGAATGTCTAAAATGGTTACACATGCTAATATAAATTTAACACAGCATAAAGAAGTCCTGATGTCTGCAATATAGAAAAGTCAACTTATTAAAACCATGTCTATCATATTTGATAAGGAAGTTACTATTCAAATAGAAGTAACAGTTATTAAATAAAATGTCCAGTGGAATTTTAAATAACTATCTCCCACAAAATCTAAGTCAGGTGAACTTGTATTACCAGCATAGAGAAGAAAAATTAAACATTAAAAAAATCCTCAGTGTACTATCCTGAGGCCTGATTTGTTCTTTGTTCTTTATTCCCCCCTAGACATACACTACAATACCTGGTCATTAAAAGTGGAAAATAAAAGAAATACAATTGGTAAAATCAGTGAGTAAGGTCCTTGTTCCAAAATATTGCCAATTGTTTGATAAACTGTTATAGATTACAATATTCTTAGCTATAGAACTAGTATAATTTTGTTATTGGAAAACAGTAAACTACTTTCTATAATACACACTACTTACTTTTATAAGTGTAGACACCACTTCAAATGATCCAACCACCAAAAGTATAGGGGCTATTACAATGAGAGGAAGTAATGAATACCCTATAACTCCAAGAACTTGGCCGTATGCAACCTGTGAATTTTCAAAATTTTAAATAAATATCATAGAAATCAAGATACTCATTTTAATCACCATTGATCATCATATAGTCTTTGTTGTACTTACATAAATGTGAGAATTAAGAAGAAATCATGAAGTATCACATGCATTATATTTCAAATTATCATATAGTCTCCTATGTTCCTGAATAGTCTCACCAACCCACCATGGTTTCAATTATCATCAATTTTCTGATGATATCCAAATCTACATTTACAGCCCTTCTCTCTCTTTTGAGCTTCAGACTTATATATACAATTATCTTCAGCATATCTCTATAGTATACTTTGTCAATACTTCCCTTAAGTTGTAGGAGGATTATTTAAAGGGACCACAACACCTTATTCAGATGAAAAATTCAAGGTCTAGAGAAGCTAGATGTGACAAATGTAGATTAGAAGGGAAGGGAGGGCAGACAGGAGAGACCGAAGAGAAAAATATTTTTTAGTGGCTACTGTGTGCCAAGCTCTGTGAGGAGGCTTCACATGTTGTGACGATCAAATGCAGGAACAACCCTGTGAAGTAGGTATTATCGTCCCCATTATGAAGAAACTGATTCTTAGAGAGACAAAGTGCTTTGTTCAGGAAAGCAAAGCTGGTAGGTGACAGAGATCAAATTAAGATCTAGGTCTCAACTCCTACATCAACAGTGCTAAATTACCAAAACATTTAATCTATAAGAATTATTTTAAACGTCCATGTGAAGAGTGAAAAAGTTTACACATAAACATTATTCTAAACTTATTCAAGAATTTTAGGTTAGGATGATGGATTAAGCACATATATCTAATATCACTGACTCTCCATTAAAAGGGAAGGGAAAAAAGAAACTCCTACTTATAAGAGGCATACTCAGGAGAAGAGAAGATGGGACAACAGCAACATAATTTTGGGATCTGGAAAGCAGAACAAGAGCTGGGGCCAAGTTAACAGACTTGACAGATCTTTCCACCAAGTGCGAGTAAAGCACTCAAGGTTTCTGCATTTAGCGTTAATGTTCATAGAGTCAGCCTGATAAGTCAGCACCCACATCATAACTCTCCCTGGCATCCCCTCTGCTTTACTCTCTCCACAGAATAAACTGCTAGAATTCCTAGGTTTATAGTAATTCATAAAGTCTTATTTAATGGAGTAGTGGTTATCAAGGTGTGGCCCATGGACCCCTGGGGGTCCCAGAGACTCTTCCAGAAGACTGGAAGGTCAAAACTATTTTTTATAATAGTAATAAAACATTATTTGCCTTTTTCATTGGGTTTATATTGGTACTAATAGGGCAAAAGCAATGGTGGCTAAAACATATCAAGATGGCATGAACTGTCCTGGTAGTTACTGTGTTCTCTACTACCACACACTCACAAAGAAAGAAGAAAAAAAGCCAGTTTCACTTAAGAACTTCCTTAATGAAGCAGTTAAAATGATTCATTTTATTAAACCTCAACCGTTGAGTATATGTCTTTTTAATATTCTGTATAACAAAATGCGAAGTACGCAGAAAGCATTTCTGCTGTATCCTGATTCAATGGTTATCTCAAGGAAGAGCACTTGTACAACTGTTTCAGTGAAGAGTTGAATTAGATGCTTTTTCCATGGAACATCATTTTTTATGTGAAAGAATAAATGAAAGACAAACTCTGGTTATTCAGAGTTGGGTACTGGCAGGCATGTTCTTGAAAATGAATGAAGTGAGCCTATTGCTTCAAAAAAACCAACAGACAGGGGCCGGCACCGTGGCGTAGCAGTTAAGTGTGCATGCTCTGTTGCTGGTGGCCCGGGTTCGGATCCCGGGAGCGCACCGACGCACTGCTCGTCAAGCCATGCTGTGGTGGCGTCCCATTTAAGTAGAGGAAGATGGGCACAGATGTTAGCCCAGGGCCAGTCTTCCTCAGCAAACAGAGGAGGATTGGCGTGGATGTTAGCTCAGAGCTGATCTTCCTCACAAAAAAAAAAAAAAAAAAATCCCGACAGTATTTGTTGCAAATGATAAAATCCTATCTTTCAAGCAAAAATTAGAATTTTGGAAAACTTGTACCCACCACTGTAAGCCTGACAGTTTTCCAATACATACAGGCTTTTCTGATGAGATGGGTGGTGACATTAATAAATGTTATTTTCTGATACTGTATATTAAAATGTGTCAACATTTGGAAGATCCACAAAACTCAGTAAACCAATGTTTTCCAAATGACCATGCATGGGTAAAAAGATCTGTCCAACGTAAATTTTAATGAAACAGAGAACGAAAAGTTCACTGATATGGTCTGAGATTCCTCATTGCAGCAAACCTTTAAGAAATGATTACTTGTTGAGTACTGGTGTAGTATCAGAGAAGAATATCCACAATCACCCAGAAAGGCTTTAAATACTCTCCCTTTTCCAATTACACATCTGTATGAGGGCTTATTGTTTTCATATACTTTAACCAAAACAATTTATCATAACAGACTGAATGCAGAAAGCAGATATTAGAATCCAGCTTCCAAGAAGCCAGAGGTTAAAGCTACTTGCAAAAATGCAAAATAATACAACGTCTCACTTACGTTTTTGTTTTGAAAGTTATTTTTCTTAAAAATGTATTATTTATGTTAAAATGTATTTGGTTTATTTTTAGATTAGTTTTTTTTGGTGAGGAAGATTCGCCCTGAGCTAACATCTGAGCCAACCTTCCTCTATTTTGTACATGGGTCACCACCACAGCAAGGCTGATGAGTGGTGTAGGTCTGTGCCCGGGATCCAAATCCACGAACCTGCGTCACCGAAGCAAAGCATGCCTAACTTGACCACCATGCCACAGGGTTGGCCCCTATTTTTAGTTTCAAATGAATAAATATATATTTAAAAAAATTTTTTTTTTTTTTTTGAGGAAGATTAGCCCTGAGCTAACATCCGTTGCCAATCCTCCTCCTTTTGCTGAGGAAGATTGGCTCTGGGCTAACATCTGTCCCCGTCTTCCTCCACTTTATATGGGAGGCCGCCACAGCATGGCCTGACAAGTGGTGCATTGCTGTGCGCCCGGGATCCAAACCCGGGCCGCCAGCAGCGGAGCGTGCACTTAACCGCTACACCACGGTGCTGGGCCCTATATTTAAAATTTTTATTTTAATTTCTAACATGGTAAATATTGATGAATATAACCCACATGAAGAAATCTCTTTGGAGACCTGAGATCAAAAAATTTGAGAACTGTGTAACAGAGAATGAATTGTATGCTTCCCTAAAAAGCTGTAAATTACTTATGAGTGGGATAGAATCATTTCTTTCTTCTTCATTTTTTGTAATATTTATTGAATATGCACAATACTAATATGTTGATCATCTTAAAGGAAGTAGCATAACTTAAAAGCAATTCTGGGACAGGAAACTATTAGGATGAATATAGCTACTAATAGTATCTGCAGTATCAAAAATACAGCTTATCAAAAAGAAAAAGGCTATTTTCAAAATTAGCTACTTACTTCTCCACCAAGAACTCTGGCCAGTAAGAAAATTGTTAGTGAACCAAATATCCAAATGGTTATAATCCATGAAACCACCTTAAGGGAAAAAAAAATTGTGCAATTAATATCTTTGTACCAAACAAGCTGATAATTTCCCAGGAACTCAATTCTCTGCCATATAAGATAGTTTGGTAAACCCAACTTCAGGTCACAGACAGTTTGTTTGAGTTCCCAGTTAATTCTTTCCAAAACTTAATAAGAATACAATGTGTAATACAATTTTACATCCAAATTGAAAGTTTAGCAATGATCAATTTCCTAAGGAACCCTCAGTATTTCAAGATATGTGATTAATGATTACTGCAGAAAGAGAACAAAGTGTCTACTTCCAATCCCCTGGTTTACAGCATCTGCAAGGAAAATTTATCCCTGAAACAAGTTACCATCCTTCTCAGGAGGTCTTTAAAATTTACATTAATTACATATTTATCCAAGTAACAGAATACGGAAGACATTTCACACAATTTTAACTCCTGAGACTTAGTGTAATAATGATACATGCATATAATTCCAAGTTCTGTCTGCTTTGAGGGTCTAGAGATAATGACACCCCAGTAGGAACATAAGCACTCTTACTGTCCAAATCCTGGTTTCAAAATACCATTCTCCAATAAAAGGAACTGGGACTCCTTAGAGAAATGGTTGATTCCAGGGCTGGGGCAAGGAAAATAAAAGATAAGCCCAGAAAACTTTGTGGAGTCAGATGAAAGGAAGTGCTCAAAAAAGGATGGGAATATGTCAAAAGGAAACAGAAGCTACCCTGAAGGAGCTCCCAATGGCTAAAGCTAGACCAATCTAAGCAATGAAATAAGTGATGATAATATTGGATTAAAATCTAGAAAATAAAATAAATATCCATGAGTCCACACTAAAATAAATAAATAGCTTAATGATTAAGTAATAGCAAAGAAGAGGCAGCAGTTCCATAGAGAATACCAATTAATATATGTGGAAGGAATGAAGAAAATAGAAAATCACCATTCAGTAAACAATACAGAAATAACTGTTGCATGCAAGATCCATCAACAGATGCTAAAATTAGTGAGCTAAAGTTTGAGGAGAAACAGGATGTTTGCATTGTCACAAAGTATCTCCACAAGATATCTATTAATTAAAAAGAAAAAAATAGCAACTTTACAGTGGAGGAATTGGGCAGACACCACCCCATCACCTAACCAAATGATCAACGTTAACAGCACCAGTAATAAGACATATCAAAATCATGCACTCCCTGGGGCCGGCCCGGTTAAGTGTGCCAGCTCCACTTTGGCAGCCCAGGGTTTGCAGGTTCGGATCCCAGGTGCGCACCGATGCACCGCTTGTCAAGCCATGCTTTGGCGGTGTCCCATACAAAATAGAGGAAGATGGGCACAGATATTAGCCCAGGGCCAGTCTTCCTCACCAAAAAAAAAAAAGAGGAGCATTGGCATTGGATGTTAGCTCAGGGCTGATCTTCCTCACACACACACACACAAAAAAATCAGGTACTCCTCGATAGTATGCAGAGAAGGGCACAATGTCACTTCTGTGGTATTCTTGCCAAAAACGCATGAACTCAATCCAGTCACGAGAAAACACCAAGCAAAGCCAAATTGAGCGATATTCTATGGAGGTAATGATCATCTGTTTTTAGCCTTAGAACTTTTTGTTCAAATGAAAGATTATACAAAATAGATAAAATCAGAAATGTTCTGGATGAGGGATTGGTGGTGGGTAGGAGACCAGGGCCCCCATTCAACTTCTTCAATGGTCCTTAGACTTCCAACAGAATACTTTTTTTTTTTTTAAAGATTTTATTTATTTATTTATTTTCCCCCTAAAGCCCCAGTGGATAGTTGTATGTCATAGCTGCACATCCTTCTAGTTGCTGTACGTGGGACGTGGCCTCAGCATGGTCAGAGAAGCAGTGTGTTGGTGCGCGCCAGGGATCCGAACCCAGGCCGCCAGGAGCGGAGCGCGAGCACTTAACCGCTAAGCCACGGGGCCGACCCCCAACAGAATACTTGATATAAACTATTGATCTAAGGCAAATATTAATAGGACTAGTGTTATATTACGTTAAGGATCTTGTTACGGGGAGACAATTCTGGATTATCTGAGTGAGTACCAAACATAATCACAACTGTCCTTAAAAAAAAGGAGGCAGGGCCGGCCCCGTGGCTTAGGGGTTAAGTGCACGTGCTCCGCTACTGGTGGCCCGGGTTCGGATCCTGGGCACGTACCAACACACTGCTTCTCCGGCCATGCTGAGGCCGCATTCCCACATACAGCAACTAGAAGGATGTGCAACTACGACGTACAACTATCTACTGGGGCTTTGCGGGGGAAAAAAAAAGGAGGCAAAGAGAGATTTGACTACAGTAGAGAGGAAGGCAATGTAACCATGGAAACAGAGATTATAGCGATGCAGCCAGAAGCCAAGGAATGCTCGCAGCCTCTAGATGTGGGAAGAGGCAAGCAACAGATTCTGCTCTGGAGCCTCTAGAGGAACCAGCCCTGCTGATATTTTGATCTTAGCTCTTTAACACTGGTTTTGAATTTCCGACTTCCAGAACTGTAAAAGAATAAATTTGCATTGTTTTAAGGCACCAAACTTGTGGAAATTTGTTACAGCAGCAACGGGAAACTAATTCATTACCAAATCACTCTGTGGTAAAGAGTTATTTTTTCACTCCCCTCAAGCCTTAAACTAGGGATGAGGGAGTGATGTGTATCTGTTGTGTTCTGATGATAAAGACAAAGTGCCTGACAGTAGGAAAAAGTATTACATAAAAACAAATACTGATAGAATCCTTGTCACCATTTATTAAAATGTTTATTTTAAAAAACAGAACTAAAAATGAATAAAAGGTAAGAACACGATTACGAGTATTATGTTTCAAACTCTTCATCCCTTGGGGAAATCAGAAAGGGCATGGGCAGCCCTTTTGATCACTTCTAGTCATTGGGTCACTTCTGGTCAGTTCAGAGTAGTCCAATCCATTTATTCCAGTTGCCATACAAATATTAATACTTTCTACGTGAATGATGATGTGGAAAAGTTTAGAAAGCAATAATCTAACGTACTTCCCACTTATTTAATTGAGAAGAGTTCTAGAGATGAACAAGTGAGAAATAACAGGTAAAGGCAAAGCACTTCAACATAATGTAGCATTACAGTTAATATTTGGTTATTTTTAATTTTAAAACTCTTAAAATATTCAGAATTTGTATAAAGTTAAGATATACTTACCCTAAACTGTCCATATAATGATATCATGGAAAAGAACAGAACAACAGCCAGAGGACCCCAAAAGTCAGGATTGTCTCTCACCACTTGTCTATTAAAACCAAGCGATGGCAGTGGCATCAAAACACATCGAATTTTGTAGTAAATATCCTTTAGATCGATATCCAATTCCTCCCTATAATTTTGAAATAAAAATTCTTAAAAGGCAAACACTTCTGAATACTGAGACAGTTAAAGGACAATTTAAGAAAAGTTTAAATATGATGGTATAGTCTCCATAGGTCAACAAAACATTTGAAGTACCATATTTCACTGATTCCAAGGTGTACATTTTCTTTTATTTTAAAGATTTCATTTATTTATTTTTTCCCCCCAAAGCTCCAGTAGATAGCTGTGTGTCATAGCTGCACATCCTTCTAGCTGCTGTATGTGGGACGCAGCCTCAGCATGGCCGGAGAAGCAGCGCGTCGGTGCGCGCCCAGGATCTGAACCTGAGCCGCCAGCAGCGGAGCGCGCTCACTTAACCGCTAAGCCACGGGGCCGGCCCCAAGGTGTATATTTTCAACACCTCTAAAGTTGGGATGCATCTCACAATCAGTAGTGTCTTATAATTGTCAGTCTGGAGTGAAGTCAAGCGCTTCAAGGTCTGCCTTTCCTTTTGCCAGTCTCCTGGAGGCACTACCAATTTGGGACAGCTTTAAATAAAATTCTCTGCTTGAGACTTTTTTGGACCATACTGATAATTCAGACTGTAGTTCTAAATGTGAACTGGTGTAGGGTTTACATTCTCGGGGGAAATTTTTCTTCCAACACCCTACCCAGTGCCAAATTGAGACAAGCAAACTTCTTTGCTGTCTCTTTTTGTATGGTGGGTTATTTCTCATTTCTCCTTACACTAAAGAGATAGCTCTTTGATGTCCTAGCTTTAAGCTATCTTAGGCACTTTCTCTTTCTTACTGATAAATGTAAAATAACTGCATCTTATAATCCACAGCACCTTAGATCAGATAAAATATGGTATATTAACACCAAGAAAACAGGATGTTTTAGCACTTGATCTACCAATAATTACTACAAAGAATAACTTAGTAATGCCTCCATTTTACAAAGCTGTAGGTTCTTCTTTCCGAAATTGTTAAACTCTTTACTTTTGTTTACAAGTGATACATAATTGCTCAAAAAATTTCAAGTACTATGAAGAAAGTGAAAGTCTCCCTATAGTCCTCCCAGTGGTATATGGGAGAGATTTGGGAGAGTAATCTTTTTGGAAGTCTTAATGTGTGAAACTAAATTTCCACAGTAAGCACCCTGCTTTTTTGGATTGCATGTTTACTTGACATAGCTATAGAACCAGGTAAGCTCTAACAATCTGGAGTATATTTGGGTGGGTATGATATAGGATTATGATTCTTTTAATTTTTGCTATTAAATAGGTTATAAATATTCTCTCATTATTTCAGTTCTTCTAATTACTAGTAAAACTGAAAATAGCTACAACTTTTGACCAAAAAGGTTAAAATTTTCCATACTTGTCTTTCAATAACATGAAAGAATATCATCATCCCTCAGACTAGCTCTAAAAACCCAAAAATACATATTACTATTTTTACATACAAGAGTGGCTTGTTATCTTCAGGATCATCATCTTCAACTTCCAAAAGCCAGCCATATCCTCTTTGTCTCAGAAATGTAGTAGCTGTAGATTCTTTGATAAAATCTCCACCAAGGTTTAATTTGACATCTGGGGATGCTATGGAACCACTGAGATCTTAGGAGAAAAGAAGAGAAAACTATAAACCAAGGTAAAATGTGTGCATCTTAACCAACATGAGCATATATGCAACAAAGATAATTACCATTTGAAGATCTCTAACTATGAACATCTGCTATTGCTGACAATCTTTACATTTTACAGTTGGTAGATATCTAAAAGCCATCTTTTATTTTACAAGAAAATGAAATATGAGAGAGGTGAAGACATATGAAAGCTTTCACAGGTAATCAGCTAGACTGGTACCAGAATCTAGACTTATAATAGTAACTGTAAAATTTAAATGGAAGATATATATAAAATATATTACATGATACCATTTTGGATTCCTTATGTGCTTCAGAACAAAGTGACTGTATAAATTCTTTTAAAAGTATTACACATGCATATATACAAATCATTAGACATAATTTATTTCCTAAGGGAAAACTGTAGATAATTTTTCTCTACTTTTTCATGTATTTATTCATACATTCTTTCATTTAAATCACCAAATAGTTATGCTAAGTATTTCATATATTAATGCTTAGTTCTGGACAAATCTGACTAGAAAGAGTTCCCTGCTATTTCAGCTAACTTTTTTTTTTCTTTATGTAAAACTGTATCAATCATCTTTAGTTTTGGCAAAAATGAAGGTTTTTTTTTTTTAGGTCAGCTCTAAAGGGATAGAGAAATTCAGTTATCCACATTACAAAATAAATTCCATTCACAGTCTGCACAGTACCTTAGAGGTTACAGATAATCACAATAGTACAAATGCTACATTTTCTGGTCAAAAAAAATTGGCAATAGTAAAGGACTTGCTTAAGGCCATACAGGAATTAAGAAGAAAAATCACATTTGTAGGACCAGACAGTATGCACCAGTAAACCACCACCAATATTGTTAACTAGCAGCCACATGATTGGAGTGGTACTTTAGAAAATAATTTTGGCAACAGCAAACCAGGACACTCTTAACACAGGCTCCTTCCCTGGAGATCATATACAGCATAAAGAAGAGCTTAATTTGCACATTACTCTAAATTCTAGGTTAGCTTTTGAGAAGCGCCATTAAAATTTTGGCTTAAACTTCAATCAGTGAGTGGCTCCATTATGAGTCACATCCCAGTGTGTTTGTGAGAACTCCTGCAATTAATTATAATAAAGTTTGCATTCTGAAGCTAAGTCCTAGCTTAGCTACTAATTAAGAGAGCAAATCATTTAATGTCTTCTGATCCCCAGTTTCCTATTCTAAGTTCTTTCCGGGTTTAACATTATATAATTCTAAAAAGATTTTATAAGGGAGTTTACTCAACTAGAGACAAAACACAAATACTTTTGAATTCACTGTCTTTTCCTACTTAAAGTTTAAAAATAGTTCCTGTAGATGCTGTTAAAGAATCCTATGATTAAAATATTCTCTCAAAATTACTTTTTGCTTCTTTGTCTTAATCTAAGTTGAAAATGAAGGAGTTGAAATTTAACTAAAATTCCATTTCCAATAGGTACAAAAATTGCTTTTCTTCCTTTTCTTACTTGTTTATTTACTTACTTTGTGAGGGAGATCAGCCCTGAGCTAACATCTGTGCTAATCCTCCTCTTTTTGCTGAGGAAGACCGGCTCTGAGCTAACATCTATTGCTAATCCTCCTCCTTTTTTTTCCCCCCAAAGTCCCAGTAGATAGTTGTTATGTCGTAGTTGCACATCCTTCTAGCTGCTGTATGTGGGACGCAGCCTCAGCACGGCCAGAGAAGCGGTGCATTGGTGTGCGCCTGGGATCTGAACCCGGGCCGCCAGTAGCGGAGCGCGCACACTTAACCGCTAAGCCACGGGGCCGGCCCTCTTCCTTTTGTTTTTTGTTCCCTGAGGAAGATTTGCCCTGACCTAACATCTGTTGCCAATCTTCCTCCTTTTGCTTGAGGAAGATTCACCCTGAGCTAACATCTGTGCCAATCTTCCTCTACTTTATATGTGGGTTGCCGACACAGCGTGGCCACCAATGAGTGGTCTAGGTTAGTGCCTGGGAATCAAACCCAGGCTGTGGAAGCGGAGCATGCCAAACTTAACCACTAGGCCACAGGGCCTGCCCCCCAAAATTGCTTTTCTTGATTTAACAAGAAGAAGATTTAGATCAAGAAGTCGTTAGTACAGCAATGACATTAAAGGTTTTGGAATTATGAGGCAGGAAGGGATCTTAACAACTGTTTCCTGGCTTCTAGAAAGGACTGCAGCTGAAGTCCTTAATCTAAACCAAAAAAGGATATATAAATTATGGTACTAAGCAATGCTGTGATAAAGAATTGTAAATGTTTAGCAGTTTGTCATAGCATGGATGCCAGAACCTCAAAAAGGCACGTTTAGCTTATGATTTCATAGTATTTTCCATTCCACACAAAGTAGGAAAGTATCCTGGACATATGTAGGAATGTCAGCAACAGCAGTTTGACACATCCGCCCAGTACGCTGAAGACACAATTAGGTGTGGGTAAGAAAATGCAATAGAAAAGTCCAAAAAACTGGTAGTTAGCTTAACACATTAGCAAGTTAACAAGTAAAGAATAACCTCAGAAAACAAGGAGAAACATTCCAAATCACTCTGGGAGCACAGCTGTCTTAAGTTAAACCACAGTAAACCAGCTAGCTTGGTTGTCAACTCTAGGATAGGTATCCAGAATTATGAAACACTAATTTTAAATTAATTCCTTCTTACTAAAATATTATTATTTTCTAAGTAAAAAACAATGTAAAGATAATAATAAAAATAAATGGATTTAAAAGGAAATAATCTATGGAAAAAATCTATTGTAAAAGGAAATCTTAAAAATGTTTCCACTGCTATTTGGGCTCAGAGTGAGGAAGAATACCAGTAAGTTTCAAGTTTTACTGAAAGCCACCTGTAAAAATTGCAGAACAAAATTTAACAATAATTTTTCCTCCATTTCAACTCAAGTGTACTATTGGGTGGGAAATCCCTTCTCTGAATCTTTTACTCAGCCTGAGAACTTCACTTTGAAACACAAGGAAGCACTCGGTCAGTGCAGTGTGATAGTATACTCAGGATGAGATTTACTGATCCGCCCCTAGACAAGTTCCAGATTTCTGTGAAAGAAGAGCATCCTGCAATGAACAATGAACATTTTGTTGGTATTTGCCAATTTCTTATATATGTGAAGAAGCTTTTTCTTATTTAACAAGCAACAAGAGGGGCTGGCCCAGTGGCGCAGCGGTTAAGTTCACGAGTTCTGCTTTAGCAGCCCGGGGTTTGCCAGTTCAGATCCCGGCTCGGACCTACTCACTGCTCATCAAGCCATGCTGAGGTGGCGTCCCACAAAGAAGAACTAGAAGGATCTACAACTAGGATATACAACTATGTCCTGGGGCTTTGGGGAGAAAAAGAAAAAGAGAAAGATTGGCAACAGATGTTAGCCTAGGGCCAATCTTCCTCAAAAAACAACAACAAAAAAAACAACCAACCAAGCAACAAGAGAAAGGACAAAAATCATCTCATTTGAAAATGAAATCCATATGTGCTTAATTCTAAACCAGAATTAAGTATCTGTGCAGCAAAACAAAACAAGCATGTCTCACAATGAAGTGATAAATCCCATTGTTCCATTTTAGTTATAAAAATATTTTAATGTAGGGGCCAGCCCGGTGGCGCAAGTGGTTAAGTGCACACGCTCTGCTGTGGTGGCCCGGGGTTCGTGGGTTCGTATCCCGGGCGTGCACTGACACACTGCTTGGCAAGCCGTGCTGTGGTGGCTCCCATATAAAGTGGAGGAAGATGGACACAGATGTTAGCCCAGGGCCAGTCTTCCTCAGCAGGAAAAAAAAAAAAAAAAGAGGAAGTAGGCAAATGTTGGCACAGGGCTGATCTTCCCCAAAAAAAAAAAAAGTTAATGCATATATAGACCAATGAAAGAGATCAAGAAACCAACCCAAGCACATAATGATTTTATAATTGCTAGACCTATACTGGAGCTTGATCATGTCATTCCATAAGAAAATATTTTTAAAAAGACTCCAGAGCTTCCTACTCCCTTCTGCCATATGAGGACACAAGGAGAAGTCTGCAGGCTGGAAGAGGGCCCTCACCTGGCCATGCTGGCACCCTAATCTTGGACTCTCAGCCTCCAGAAGTGTGAGGAATAAATTTTTATTGTTTATAAGCCACCCAGTCTATGGAATTTTGTTATAGCAGCCCAACAGACTAAGACGCTCCTATATAAAAATGATACTATCTACAATTCATAGTACATTATTGTGATCAGTAAGTTGAAGACATAATAATCTAATAATTACTGTCAATGCTCTTTTGAGTAAATGATAATTTTCTGTTAATTTGTTAAGGTGACCAAACATTTAGCCTACTCTTTCTGTGAAGTCTCTCCACAGAAAGGATATCACCTCTAATACAAGTTAGTAGTGTAGACAGAAGAATCTTCAGTTTTTCCTTTTTAAAAGTTTCCTACTTGATTTTTAAAAAATTGTATATCCATGTAGGTATTATCACAAATATCTTCTATACATTATACTAATTAAGTATGACATATGGTATAAAATAGGTGCAAGAATAGCTTTTCTTCCCTATTTGAAAATTGAAAATGACTTTTTAGCCAACCTTTCCGGGGGAGAAAAAAAGATAGTTAAGCAAGGTTTACCTTTTTAAAAAAATTAATCTATTTATTTCTTTTCATAAATTTTAAACTTATAAGGAATTACACAAATCTATAAATGTGATAAAGTTGCATAGAACTATACATACACACACAAATAAGTGCATGTAAAACTGGTAAAATCTGAATAAGGTCTGTGGACTGTACCAGTGTCAATGTCCTAGTTTTGATAGTTATGTAAGATGGTACCATTGGGGGAAACTGGGTGAAGTGTACATGTAACCTCTGTGTAGTATTTTTGCAACTTTCTGTGAATCCATAATTATTTCAAAATAAAAAGTTAAAAAACTCATAAGGTAAACAAAAGAAATTTCTGTTAAATAACTGGTTTATGCCAAAA